CCCCAGGACCGGACTGCTCTGTCTGGACCTAATGCCCCCCAAGACCAGACTGCTCTGTCTGGACCTAAGGCCCCCCAGGACCAAACTGCTCTGTCTGGACCTAAGGCCCCCCAGGACTGCACTGCTCTGTCTCTATCTAATGCCCCCCAGGACTGGACTGCTCTGTCTATATGTAACGCCCCCCGGGACTGGACTGCTCTGTCTATATGTAACGCCCCCCGGGACTGGACTGCTCTGTCGGGACCTAATGCCCCCCAGGACCGGACTGCTGTGTACCTAATGCCCCCCCAGGACCAGACTGCTCTGTTTGGACCTAACGCCCCCCAGGACTGCACTGCTCTGTCTCTATCTAATGCCCCCCAGGACTGGACCGCTCTGTCTGTCTCTAACGCCCCCCCAGACTGGACCGCTCTGTCTGTCTCTAATGCCCCCCCAGACTGGACTGCTCTGTCTGTATCTAATGCCTCACGTGTGCACCTCTTGACCCCTGTTTTTATATCCCCTTCCTTTGTCGTAGGGAGGGCTAGTCAGGTTATCGTTTTTCTAGGTGCCTAGGATCTGGGGCTCCTGGAAGCCCCAGCTGTTTGCTTTGCACAGCGTAGCCAGGGTGTGGGTTTGCAAAGCTGTCGCGGTGCTGATGGATGCTTTTGATCATTAGGCATCTATTTTCTGCTTGATGACTGGATCGCCCTCCAGGAAAAGAGGCTCTAGTGGCAAGTAGAGTGTGGGGAGAAACCCCAGGAGGAGGGATCCCTGGCAGGGGAGTGGGGGAGATGGGTGCTGGGGCTGGCAGAGGAGCCACTGGGGGCCTGCTCAGAGCACGGTCAACCACAGTCACTCCAAGCCATATGCTCAGTGCAGCCTCCAACTCCCGGCGTGCTAAGTGACATGTCCCCAGGTCCTGCCATTGATCTAGGCCAGCCGTGGTTTGTTTATTTTGATCTTTTCCAATCTCCCATTCAGTTTTGATCACACACACAGGAGACCAATAACTCGCTCCAAAAGAAAGGAAACAAAATCGATGTTGGCTTCAGCGCAGGCTCCCATGGAGGGCATTGTAAGACAGGTGTGGCCAAGGGCAGAGGGGAGAAGTGCAATGGGACTGCCTAGTAGAGAGCCTGGCTCAGGGGGACCTGCAGAATCTCCGCGTTCATGTGACCACGGGAGGGACGGTCCTGAGCCAGCTTGCAGGGTCTTGCTAAGCTGTCAGAACAAAGTTAGCTTGGGACGCCTTTGCATCAGGCCTTTCTCGGTTCATTTATTAAGCGCCGTCTGTGTGCCCAGCCTGTGCTGAGCACTGAGAACCCCTCAGTGCTTCTCAGCAGGAAGCCACCCCTGCACTTTCCAGGGCACTGGGCCCCACAGCGCCCCCTTTCCTTCCCGCCTGTCCCATTGCCTCAGTGTTGGAGGAGGGAAGGGCTGTGTGGAGGGTGACCAGCTCTCAACCTGATGCATGAATGCCCTGCCAGGCTGTGTTCCCGCCCACAGGGAGACCACATGAGTTCTAGGACCCCTTCCCCAGCTCCGAGGCTCCTGGCCTGCTCTGACCACGGGCTGCCTTCCAGAGCCTGACATCTGCCTCATCCTTTCTGACCCGCTACCTATGAGAGTCTCAGGTCAGCTCACATCATCAGCAGACACCAGACACCAAAAAGAGGGCCAGTGCTACTCCCAACACCCCAGGAAATTCACGTTCAAAGGGGTGATATCGTTAGGAAAACACTGTCATTTTACAAACAGTAGCAAGCTTAGCTTAGTGTTTCAAAGTCCTTTCCCATCATCTAAACGGCATCAAGGCCATCTAGATCTTTTATAAGGATCCTACGGGATCTTTTTTTCCAGAAGGTGGAAATATCCAAAATGCTTAAAACTGTGTGGGTGCAGGCAGTGGTCAGCCCACCGCCAGTGGTGCCATAAACATCAGCGTCCCTTCAAACCACTTCTCAGTGTGAGAATGGACATTCCCAGAACCGAGAATCATTGTTCCCCTTCAGCCTTCACTCCCCCAGTGGAGCCTCCAGCAGAAACTGCTAGAATCCTCACCTCTTTCCCACCACCCATTCAGCGACGGACCCCTCGAGAGCGTCTTTTCCAGCAGCCCAGGCTCCTTGACGTTAGCAATTCTGTCGGGAGGACATGTGACAGAGGCTCGCCACACCAAAGGGAAGTGCCG